GGAAAGAGCAGAGTGCCTGGGATACTGAAGGGTCCATTTTGAAGCGCTTCTAAATATTACCTGTTGCCTTCAGGATTCATTTTGGAATGCTCCTGCTATTTTTGGAGTGCTTCAAAGGGGTCTGTGCATCTGTCTACCTTGCCATTTGAAGCTCTTCAAATGTTATATCCACCCACCCTGCCCCCCAAGATATCTCTGTTTCCAATGAAAGGTGGCTGAACACCACTGCTAGCTTGGGACAAACATGACAATTCCTTAAAAGCTCTGCTCCTTGAGAAAGCTGTGTGGATGGATTATGGGAGAAAGTGTTGCCTTCCTCCTGTCAAAACTTGCCTACAGTTTAACAATATTACCCCTATGTTGTCCCTAATTGAAGTGAATATGTAAAACTCATACTATCTTATAATTAAGGCTTGCTGACTTATCATGAAATAAGACAGACATTGTAAGACAATTAAGAGAAAACATGAGGACTCAGTCGAATGTTGATCAGCCCCAAGTGATTAAGTTTCTCTTCAGAATATAATAACTCAGTTGGAGAATCCAACTGTGACTTCCTGGCTAAATGTGGCTTCTGAGCACAGCACACTTACCTTTCTCTGCTTCAACCTGAACTAGGTTATTTCAGCTCATGGCTCATCCTTGACTTGGTTTGTGTGTATTAAGTTCTTGTTTTATTTTGAAGGTAAACTGGATGAAGTGTATGAATCATTGGTGAACGCACATCCCAACATGACTGTTTATAAAAAGGAGGAAATTCCAACTAGATTACATTACAAACACAACAGCAGAATTCAGCCAGTCTTGGCAGTGGCTGACATAGGATGGGAAATCGTAAAAAATAAGACCGACCCATTTCTGTGTAAGTATTCTTCGTTCTTTTCTTAGATTTCACGTGTCTTTGCTGTTCAAATAATACAGTAAAGCTTGTAAATGCCAGGCCTCTCCTGGCCCAATGAAACTCCAATTTGGCTTTGGCCAACTGGGTTAAGAATGTACTTGAAGGCTCCATCCATATCTTTTAAAAGCCTTTAGTGAAGTAGGAAGGATAGTCCCATTAAAAGCAGTGAGATTTGTGCTCTGACCTGCTTTATAGACTTTTGAAAATCCAGTTTTAAACCGATTAAAAAAAGTAATTGTATCAAACACTTCAGCTGATTTTGGAGATTAGCTTTCAGAGCTAGATCTCAAAATTCCTAAGGGTCGATTCTACAAAATGTCTGGCACCGGATGAGAAGCAGGGTGCCTGTTTGAGCTGACAGGTAATGAGTCTCAAGTTCAGAAAAGCTATCAGGTATTTCTGTTTTACCTTTTAAATTATCATAACTTGGATTTTACTGGTATTTAGGCTCTTTTTCAGAAATGTGCTTGAGGGAAATAAGCAAGGCTTCTTGTCTCCATTCTACATTATGGAAAAACAAAATGAGCCATGTAACTGTACATGTTTAAATGTTTGTTTTACAAAGTCAAAGTGGCTTGATAACCAGGAATCTTTTATCTTTCTAGTGGGGAACCATGGATATGACAACACCCTACCAGAAATGCACCCGATCTTCTTGGCCCATGGTCCTGCTTTTCGGAAAAATGCCACCAAAGAAGCCATGAATATGACAGATCTGTACCCCTTGTTGTGCCACCTGCTTGGTATCAATCCATTGCCAAACAATGGATCGTTCAGCAACGTGGAAGATATACTTGCTAGACCAGTTCCAAGAGAGCTTCATCCTAGAGATTATGAAAAAGAGTCCTATGCTTATTTTATTGGAGTGTCTCTTGGGACCATTCTCATTATTGTGTTTCTTGTAGTTTTTATGAAGCACTTAACCCACAGCCAAATACCTACCATACACGTGCAGCACACTGAAATTGCCCAGCCCTTACTCCAAGGCTAGTCTAGAGTGCAATTACTGGCAGGTAATAGTTCTGGAATAATGCTTCAGTGCTCTTCTAAGCTATTGGGGGCTTTAAAGAGGCTTGTTGAAACACTCTAGAAAAGGATCAGCAGAAATACAAGCAAAGTAAAATAAGAAAATGAATGCTGATCTACTGGTGCACTACAGTAAATATGCACTGGAGATATATATATAGGAAGAGCATATCTCTTTTGCATTCTACAACCACTTGGTCCTTGAGGGGTTAAGAATCTTTAGGAGAACATACAAAGCTGTGTATGTACGTGTTTAGTAAATTAGACCTTTTAGATGCCTCCTCTTGCATTAACAATTTTAGGGAAATTACTTTAGATGCACTTTATAGAATATTATGTAGGAACTTTACTGATTTCCTGAATTTATCAGTGCTTTCTTTAAATCCAAAAGGTAACCTAACTCTTTTTAAAGTAAAACTAATGTAAGGGATTCACAGTGGAAGGACTGGAGGATTAAATGTTATAAAAATTGCTTCTAAAGCACAAATACCACTAGAATACAGTGTATTTAAAGCCTTGCAATTTTAAACATTCTGCTTTGAATGACAGCAACTGAAATATTTGCCTGTATTCCAATAAGAATTATCTTGTAATAACCGGTTTCTGATTTTTGAACCTGTACATCCCATCCCTAAGATACATCTTGGGCTTCAGTTACTCTGTTCACTTTCCCAGCTCACTAGAATATTAAAATCCTAAGCAATGAGCAAATACCTGGTGGCAGTATAATAATGTACTAAAATATACTGGGTTAAATTTGTCAACCCACTAATGTTCTTTTAAAGGCTTTTAAAGACACTTCTATTCAAATGAGAGCAGAAGTGTGTGAGCAGGGCCAGCAGTGTATTTTTAATTTTCTAGATGCAGATCTCTTACAAAAAAGGGAAGTATTAAACATTTGCTGATCATCAATGAGTGCAATTCCATTAACATCACTGGGGTCACGCCTGTTTGTCAGGAGGTAAATTAACCTGCTGTAACCAGTGTCTTGTTTGACACATCCAGGTTTGACCTTGTAAATTTAATCTTTAGCATTTTCCCTGGATTGGGCTCCTAAATTGTGGAATAGATTTGACTTTGAAATAGACTTCTAAAGCAAATCATATTCTTAGAATCGGAGAAAAGCACTTGTAACCTCTACACAGGCAAGAGATTATGACTTTCAGATGAAGGTGCTTCATGTAAAACTGTATTAACCCTTTGAGTTAAACTCAACAAAAATATCGTACAAGTATGCCTTCTGTTTCAGCACCAAAACAATTAGGCTTTCTTTTGCTTATGCCTTTGGTTGCAGAGGCAACAGGGGAAAGCTGAGAAGTTTTTGGAGGAGACTTGTCAAATGAGCAAAACTACATTTAGTTTCCTCAGCATTGCTGTATGAATTGAAATTTTTCTTTAAGCCCCATTATTCAGCATGGGGTATAATATTGTGAATGACTCTTCAGCTGGGCTAGCCAGCTAACGAGGCAGGTTTCACATGAAAATATTTGGTGCTTCCAATCCTTTCTCTGACAACCTAGTTTATTCCTTTTCTTAAAGGACAGCAAATGTAATTTTGCCTTTTGCTGTTAACAGGGCTTTGGGGGATCATCTGCAAGTTTGGATCTGCATAACTTAATGACTAGATAAAGTAAGTTCTCCACGTAATTGCAGTATGCTAATAATGCAGATTGGGGGACTGATGCCAGACTTTTATAAATTGAATATAAAAATCAAACACAATGCTTCATTTAGCAAACTGAATTTACCAGCCTAATGCATTCTTGTTAATTTTTTTTAGATAGACTCTTCAGTGAGATCACATAGTAGATTCCTGGTGCCTCTGAGCACTTTTAAGAGTTGAGATTCTCTGGAAAGAATAGAGTTTTGTATGTTGTAAGTTATGACAAGGTATTAATCCAGTGCCTACCATTCAGAAGTATTCTCTTGCATTCTCAAAAGTATTTCATGAATGAAGGATCTTGAAAGCTGCTGTAGAGAATCTAGTTGTGTGGTGCCTGTTGCTTAGGGCAGTAACAAGACCCTCCCATTTTATGGTGTATTGTCAATTTAAATTGAGGACAGTTCTTTCTCTCCGATTCAAAGGGTGGCTCTCACTCTTGAGTGGTTCCAGCAGAAGAGTTTGGCAATTTCCTTACTCGTTATTTTAATCAGACCAATAATTCCTCCTTCATGCAACACATGTAGCAACAAAATAATCCTTGTCAGCTGTGACCATAACTAATCGCACTGTCAGAGCAGAGGTCTTCACTACTGACTCTACATTTTGGTCTTCAGTTTGTAGCAAGCAGTCTTGTGGGCGACCCTGAAGGCTGGGAATGTTTTCACGTAGGAATTCTGACTAAGCTAAGGTTGGGGCAGAGAAGAATCTGGGTTGGTAGAGACATTGCTAAACTCGGCATTGTGTAACTTAATCTGACTTGGTTACTAACTTCTTTTGTAATTTTCCCGGGGAATTCATCATGGTCAAGATGTGCGTTTGGTTAGCAGCTTAAGGAAAAAAAATCCCTAACTGATGTACTGGAAAGCTGACTGTTTCTGGACTACTCTACCATATATCATCTCATACATGTTTAACCAAAGTCATCTTAACACTGAAAGCTGCATTGATGAAGGCAAAAGTTTTGTTCACAGTAGTGGTTAGAGTAGATGAATAAAATTCATTTACTAAACCTGTGACTACTACAGCCTGAACCTAAAGCCTGTAAATTGCTTGAATGCATATCTGTCAGACTCTTCCAGTATGCAAGATAGTACACTTCCACATTCAGAGAAATTGCTTCTCAGACACATCCTCAAGAAATGAGTGGTAAATGGCTTGGTGGGATAGCAGCTGGAAAAGTTCAGATTTGAGATGTGAGTCTTTGGTCTTGGTTTATGTCACACATTTTGCAGCCCAGCTGAATTTCACTGTCAGAATAAAGATCTACAGACTGGCAAGCATCCGCACTTCAGCAAGCCCTAGTTAGTTTCTGATGAATTGAGCAGGTGGGATAGCGTAGTGTCGCTATCCATTTACAGCTGCTGCTTCACACTCTCCCTTGCTTTGATGCCATTAAAAAAATGTGTGCAGTTATTTCTGTTGCACATCATGGTACTGGAATGAAAGTGGCTTTTTGGCAAACAGCAAAATTAGCAATTAGATTGCATGTTTAGTGAGCACTTTTTTTATGGTAGTGGGTTAAAAGTGAAGGGAGCTTATAAATGCTTCAGGGTGAGGGGGAAGTTAAGAATATAAATTCTGTTAACACAAGCACTTTTACCCTGAATGTGCATGCTCAGTCGCACAGCAAGGGACGAGTAACAAGTTCTCCCTAAAAGATATGTTTCCCTTTGGGAGAAAATGGGGGTGGGAGGCCAGTGGCAGCTGAAGCTGCTTCTGTTGAAGAATGCGGCACACTGCAAACAGCCATATGCTGAGGCACAGAACGTAAGTTTGTGTTTAGATATTGTACATCTGTTTCATAGTTAGTGCGCTTAACCTTTCTCCGTTAAGAATATTTGTAGGAATAAGACCTAGTATTAGCCTTTATAAGTACTGGTGATATCTGTAAAATTTGTAAACTTCGCTAATCTTTAAGCACAGAAGTGATACTGGTGGAAAAATATTGTTTATTTCTCAGAGCTGTGATGTGAAACCCTCTAGACTTTGTCCTCGTACTTGATGGGGCAAGTTTGATTTTGTTTACCTTTTTGGTACTCGAGAATCGTGTGCGACTAAGTTAGCGGAAGCTGAAGTGAATATACGTACTGTGTGTTAACTCAGGCTGTGAGCTTGGGATTGGGGCATTTCAACACTTAAACTTTTGATTGTTCGTACTGAAATGTGAAAGTCTCTCTGAGCAGACGTCTAGAATGTTTTGTTTTCCTATTTGCAAATGAAAATATTCAGATATTTTTATAATTGTTAGCAGTGCTACGGAGCAATGAACATGTGTGTTTAAAAACAGCTTTGGAAAGAATGTGTTTGTTTTATGAAAAGATTAAAAGATATCTATTTAAATCATCCTTCTCTTGGGTGAATTTTTTTTCTCACACTACCTGAAGAAGATTGAATTCTTTTAACAGGATATGAATGAACCAACGGTCTACATGGAATATATGAAGTTTAAGTTAACAAGGCCCCCAACCTAATTCCATCCTCTTTTATTGCATTTATTTTATTGCATTTAACCAGTCACATGACAGGATATTTCTCAAGCAGACTTGAATACATTTAACTTCAATAGAAACAAATGTTCTGTATAAGTGAGAGGGAATTCTCTATATATCAAAAGGGGGAGAGAGATGCATGCATTACATAAAGCAAGGAAATGCTCTGTTGAAATTTGCTCTTAGCAGAAGCTACAAATCGGATGATTTTTCCTTGGCCATACTTTATTTACCTCTCTAAAGGTATCCAGAGCTCTACACAGTTCTCCCCATGCTCAGTTTTTCTTTGGTTCACATGTATTTGATTAACTGAAAATCTGATACAAGAATCTTTATTCTGTCACGTGACTGGCAATAAACTACAGTAGGGATGGACAAAATACGGCCTATGGGCTGGATCTGGCCAATCAGATGATTTTTACCCTGTGCACAGCTGCTCCTCTGAAAGAGAATTGTATCTGGCCTGCGGCTGCCCCGGCTTTCAGTGGCTCTTTCCCCTTCTTTCCCTTCTCCCTTCCCCATGCCAGCCAGCTGCAGCAGTAGTATAAGCCACTCCTCTCCTTGCCCAGCCCATCCCGTCCTGCCCCCCAGCCCCAGTGTAAACTCCAAGGCTGGGGGTGCTGAGCTCCTGGCCGGGCTTCTGCCAGGCAAGGCTGGCTGCGCTGCTCAAACCCTGTACCTGGCAAGTCAAAGCTTAGGTAAAGTTTGCCCCGCTGGCAGGGGAGGTGGTACATGGGGAACAGGGCCAGGAGCCACAGGTTATCCGGGCCCTGCTGGACCAGATGCCTGGTAAGAGCACAAGCACTGGTGCCACACTGTTCCCACATGCCACTTTGGGCTGTGCCACGTGGGCGCAGCTGGACTGGCTGGTGCAGCTCCTGCCTGACCCCAAGTCCCTGGCACATGGCCAGGTTGGGCAGGAGACATGCCAGCTGTATCCACATGGCCCAAAGCGGCACGTGGCAACACACTGTGACACCGCCCCAGCTGTGACAGGGACTCAGGGTGGGGGAGGGAGTGCAGGAAGAAGGGGGAACAGCATGCCACTGAGCTAGCTGATCCTGGATAACCTGCAGCTCCCTGCACCCATACCCCATTCCCCACACCTCAAGTCCCCACACACAACCGGGCTGGCTGATGCCACATTTTATTTCTTTGTGCCACATGGATGCAGTTGGTGTGACTCCGGTCCAACCTAGTCATGTGCCAGGAATGGGGGAAGGGGAGCAGGGAACTGTGGTCATGTGGGCCAGTGCCATGCTGTTTCTGTGCTTCTCCCTGCACCCCCTTACCCTGCCCCAAGTCCCTGGCATGCAGAAGCTGTGCCAGCTGCACCCAGGTGGCCTGAGCCAGTGTGCAGTAATGCAGTGCGGCATGGGTCTGGCTGTATGCCAGGCACTTGTGGTGGGGGATTGGGTGTAAGAACTGGGGAACGAAGGTTAGGTTTCCCTAACTTTTGTTCTCTGCCCAGGAGTGGGCAATTATTTAAGCCAGAGGGCCACTTAAGAGTTTTGATGAACCGTGGCTAGTAGGGACAACAGCTTGAGGAGCGGGGTTGCTGACCCGGCCTGCAACAGCTCACCCCATCTCCCTAGGTAAGTGGCCCTCCAGCACAAATAACTGCCCACCCCTAAACTACAACCTTTGATGCCCATCAGAGATTAGGTTATGACAGACTCTGGTGCTGGAAGAAAAAGCAGTTGTAAACAGCATCCTGTGTGGCAGGAGCTCTCCCTATCGAGCCACCACTGGTTTGCACCCTGGGCATACCTGCTTGGGCATCTTGACCATAACTATCCACTTAGGAATAGCTTTGTTGCAGTCCTCATGACCTGTTATTTTGTCAGAGAAACCTGCTGCATATTAAAATTCAGCACAGGAAGCTTCATCTTGTCATAATTATGAGCCAGGTACTTAGCCTTATGCCCCCTCAGCTTCTTTTAAGCAAAATCAGTGGTGCTCAAATTTGTGGCTTTGCAAAGCAGATCCCACAGTCCAGTGTGTAGAGTTGTGTTATCCAGCCTGAGGGCTCCTTGCAGGTCTCAACTTGGCAGTGGGGGAATGGTGGCAGCATTGATTGCCGTGGCTCTGGAAGCCAAACTTCTGGACACATTGGGAGCCCTGTGGACCAGAGGTTAAGCATCATAGGGCTAAATGAGCTAAACCTCATAGTCTCTTGCAACCTTTTCAAGCATGGGAGGGTTTTATAGTATCCTACAGGTTAACTGGACCCTTTCCTTTTTGGGAGAGGCTTTAAGGACAATGCAACCATCCTATTAACACCGCTTCAAATACGTACCTCCTTGAAAGAGGTGCTGCAGGTGAAGTGGTGCAGGAAAGCTTATGCTGCTGCTCTCCATACTGAGCTTTAAATAGAAGGACTTTGGAGCAGTAAATTTATTTAAATTTGTTTGGGGGGGGGGTGTAAAATAGACATGATGGCATACCTGATTGAACCAGGTATATAAATCAGCATAATAGTGGGCTCACTCCTATCCATTGATTTCTGTGTTCCATTTGTTGGTCGTGTCTAAAACTTGTTTCTGGATTTTAAAGAAAGATCCTGTGATAAAAAGAAAGCTTATGAATAGGAATACAGGACTGTACACAGCACTGCAAAGAAAAGCCTTCTATAATCATACATGAGCCTTTGTTTGAAAAGAAAGATGTGATCAAACCTCTGAGAATCCCTTGCAGATCATGATATTCAAGATAAATTTCTGTCTGTCTATCATGCTTACTGTGGCTGTGTTAGCAAGTCTTGCTGTAGAGGTAAACACTAAGCATAAAAAGTTGTATTGTACTACCACTGTGAACAAACATTTTGTTATAGATTTGTACTTGGTGATAAAAGGAGGGTGATCCAGTTTCCCTAAATACCTTTGATTTCAGATGAAGGGAGGTGTCAGTTCAACACCCTTTACAAAAGTAAAAGTTCAGGCTTCTTTTTCCTCCCACTAGTTGATGCACATTCATCATCCTCTGTATTAGGTGACAGAGTTCAGCTGCTGTAAAGGGAGTTCTAACCTATGCCTGACAAGTAAACACGGGTGGAACTATCTATTTTTAAAATGTAAGTAACTGCCCTATCAAGTGGACTACTCAGTCACTCACTTTTTAAACTTGAACAGTGCATCTATTTTAAAGAAATTGTTTTTAAGGAAATGTGCAAATTGAGGGCATAACTGCAACCAGTAATTTACACGTGGTGACTGTGTGGGCTTAGCAGGGGATGGGTCATTCTACACATGCCTTATTTCTCATATTTTTCCTTGGAAGCATCCGCTCACCACCACTGGATATAGCTTATGCTCTGTGCCCTATGCCTGACCCTTCCCTGATCTCCACTTCTGCCTGTTCGCTCCTTGGAAGAAGACTGTGCAAATAGGCAGTAATCCTGTGGTGTATGCTCCTCCTGTGCTTGGAAGGTCAAAAAGAGCATAGATTATTTAACTAGTAGAGCTTAAGAAAGGGGGGGACCCCTGGTTCTGGCCCCTGCTTCCAATGGAGTTCATGCATTTTATCCAGTGATTACTTTAATACAAAATATATAAGCTGTCGCAGGGTTCAGAACGCACACTGTGTCCAGGACAGTGTTCACTTCCCTGGGTTAGTGTCAAGCTTCCTTGTGTTTCTTAAATCTGGCCCTAGGAATCTTACAGCCATCTGCCCAGTGGCTTTGTATCAGTAGGCTCAGGGTAGAGAGGGTACTCTTGGCATGCCTAGTCTCTAATCTGGTGGTTAGGGCGCTTTGCTGGGAACCAAGATGTGGATTCAAACCCTTTCTAGTTGAGATACACACAGGATCTTGACCACCTTCCAGGATAAATACCCCAAACCACAAAGCTATTGTCACAAAAAAAAAATAGCAATCCTCCATTTCCAACTTTGGGACAAAGATGACAGCTTCACAAATACCTCTCTTTCAAGATGGAAGATGTCCAAAGCATGTGTAGTAGCTACATTTTGCAGGAAGCAGGTATGTTTTCACTGAAGCACTGGGCTGAAATACGTGGCTAGCCCTGCTCATGAAAATGGCTTGTTTCCTAAGGAGATTTCTCTTCACTGTCTCCTGAAAGATACTTTGCCTTGAGTCTTCATTGATGACAGAATAAAACAGGAATCTTCTTTCCCACTCAGTCCTACTGACAGGGTCTGGAATCAAACCGTACACTTAAAAGGACTGAGTAAAGACCAGATCCTGCTGTCCTTGTTCAAAAGGTAGAACAGTTTATCATTTTCTCATCACAATTGAGAGCTGTTTAGAGTCACAGGACCATTCAGTGTAAATGAGGGTCTCAACCTACATCTCAGAATTCACAGGCTGACATTTATACTAACCATATTTTCATTTAACACAGTAATACATACAGAAACCTACTAAGAACAATGGGATTATGACTGTAGTAAAAATGGCAAGGACTAGTCCAATTTTGTTTTCTTAAGTCATTTTCATCTTTTATTTATGATAGGGGAAGAGGCTCCAGTTGTAGGTTAACAGAGGCTCTCTCTGTAAAAAGCTTTTCATAGCCAAACAGGATTTAAATTTTACTTTGCAGGGAAGGGCATATTTTTTTTTTTGTTTCCCCAAATTTAAAAGGTTTAAAATGTAGAACTAATGCACTTTTGTCAAAAGCAAGAACAGCTGAATCACCAATATAACATACTTAGAACCAGATGCTATTCCTGTTGATGCCTTACCTGCTCTTGGAGGTAGCCTCTCCCACTAGTACATACTGTAATCACATCACATCTTGCAAAAGTGAAGGCTGCAGCTATATCAGTCCCAAAGGGATGAATAAAAAGCTTGAGTTCTTGTTTTCTGGGTTTTTATTTGGGGGAAAAAACCCAAAA